ATGCATTCAATATGTGTTCCCTTTCGCAAAGCCATGAAACATCTGGATTTTTTTCCACACGCTACAGTGTGGCACACAAGCACGCCTGCAAAATTTGGGTGTGTTTCGACACTTGATGCATTTACTACGATTTTCTCCATGAAAATACCCAGAAAATGTCTCCCGACGTGACGCGACTTCCATTCGTACTCCGATTCCGTCGTAATCTGACGTGCGAGACCGTGGGGGTCACTCACACGCGCATGCAAAAGTTGGGTGCGTTTCGTGCATGTTGACATGTACTCACAGTACAAACCTGAGGTGTCGGTCTGGGGTGTGACATGCATTCAGTATATGTTCCCTTTCATAAAGCTGATTATAAATTTTTAATAAACTCAAAAATGTTAGGCAGTAACCAGAAAGTCATAATCAATTATTTTCAAAAAATTGATTATTAGTACTTATAATTTATAATAAACAACTTATTATTCTTACTTACAAAGTAAATAACAAAATTGAGGTGCCATTTTCTATATTAACTAGTTCTATATTAAGTAGTTTTTTAATATAATTACATAATAAATTCTACATTAAGTATTGTTCTTAACATAACTACTTAATAAATTTCATAGAAAGTACTTTTTTTATGTATGAGTATTTTCCAAATTATAACAAATAACACTTTACTATTATGAAAACAACTGTAGCCATTAATGTAAAACAAATAACAAATAAATAATGAACATTAAATAAGTTATAAATCATTTATAACAAATAAAAATGAACATTTTTAAACAATAAATAAAGAAAACAACTAATCCCACCTGGCCCGCCGAAAGACGCCGCGCGATGGCCGGCCCAGTGACTGTGTGCGACGGTGCGCGTGGGCCGGCCCATTGAGTGTGCGCCCGGTGCGGGGGCAGTGTCGGCAGTGAGGACTAAAGTTTAGTCCCACCTCGCCCGCCGAACGACGCCGCGACCGCCTTATATGCCCAGCTCGCACCGCCCTTTCAGAACTCCTCTGATCCCCACCCCGTCCCGCCGCTGCCCCGTTGGCCTGTTCTGGCAGCCATAGCTGGGCCGAATGGCCGGCCCTTTCGCCAGTCGGCTTGATCGGGCCGGACCGATTAGGCGCACTTGAGGCCTGCCAGCACAGGCGGGCTTATTTTTTTAATCATTATTTTTTTAATCATTATAATATCAGCTCGTCAATTCGCGCAGAAATAACAATACTAAAGTTTTCTTATATATAATTTAAATACGAAATAAATTCTGTATGAAGTACTCTTTTTAATATAATTACTTAATCTTATGTGGTAAATCCGTCAACACTACAGGTATTTTTCGACATCCTTCAAATGAACCCAATTTTTTTCCACAGTCTCGTACCATCATGAATAGGATGCATGACAAGTTTCATGGCTTTTTGCCATTTTATGAATTTTCTATAATTTTTTCGATCGAAACACTTTAAATGCTGACCGGACGTGACGCAACGTGCTCTTCGTATCGAAATACCATAAATTTTTGGATTATGTGTGGAAGTGGGCATACTAACTCAGATGCAAAATTTCAGGCCATTCTGAAGATGTCAAAAAATTGACCTTCTTCTCCGTAGACCGTTCGGGTAGGAGCAAAGGCCCTGTCCGAAAACGAGTTATTTTTCGACATCCTTCAAATGAACCCAATTGTTTTCCACAATCTTGTACCATCATG